TATAATTTTTTTATATTATTAAATAATTAAATATATTTAATATTTTGAGTCTCTATAAATAAAGAAAATTAATTATTTTAATGTTAAATTATATAAAATAATAGACAAAAAAATTATAAAAAATTATTAAAAAAAAATCAGTCTCTCCAATCCGACGGCGGCGAAAATTTCTCAGTCAGTATGCAAAAACACGACGACAGATTTTCTTTCCGAACGCGGAATTATTACATTAACAAATTTAGACATTGATGGATGCGGTGGGACGCACGCATGCATAACTACTGTCCTAACCATGGAACTGTTCCAAATCATTGTGGGATGGTGACGGACGGACGGAGAAATTTGACCTTCCATAAGAGCATAAATAAATTTTAGACAGAAGGGACGGGAAAGGGTGAGGGATGAGAATGCTGGATTTTCGCTGCGTCATTTGATGGATTTCCAGCATCTGCTCTGCTCTTTCTGGGATTGATTGTTCCGAGGTAAATTTTGTTTCTTTTGGGTGGATAATTCCGATTGGTATGTTCTTTTTTCAATTCTTTGATCAATTTTGTAGTTTTCTAGGACCCTTCTTCTTGACTTTGTCGAGGAAGAACAAAATTTGCGTTTAGATAGGCAATTTTGACTCTGGATTGAATTTTTCATAACCCCTTTTCTTGAATTTTCAGAATTTGTTAGGATTTCTTAGTTTTTGTTTTTTGTTAACAACCCTTTTGGCGATTTGGTTTCTGCATTGTTTTACTTTTAGGGGGATTAGAATTGAAGGTAGAGTTGTGACTCTGAGATTGTTGTTCACAGGCTTGGGGATTGAATTAGAAGGCTGCCCTTTTGTTGTTTTCAAGCTTTTCTTTCCCTTCTAGGCATCAGAAGTCTTGGTTTTCTGATTGATGAAGAAGGGAAAGAAAGCAGAATTGTGAAAGAAATCGAAAACCTTTAGCCATTTTAGATATTTTGAAATCCAGAAATGAGTGCAGTTAATGGCGTTATTTCGAGGCAAGTCTTGCCTGTATGCGGTAGCCTCTGTTACTTTTGCCCATCTATGCGTCCGAGGTCCAGACAGCCTGTCAAGAGGTATAAGAAGCTGATTGCTGATATCTTTCCTCGTTCTCAGGTTGGTATCTTAATTTTATTTGGCTTTCTGCATTTTTATTCAGGTTGCCAGTTCCTCATTTTAATTGTAGTAGTAGTCAATTTTCATGCATATATAGTTATAGGTACTGTATGTAAATCTTAAAATGAGTTTATTACAAACATATTCCAGAGATAGAAGCACTAAGTGCCCAATGACACTTTGAAGATGTAATGGCACATAATGTATCTCCAGCAATATGTTAAGTGAACTACCAACTTGATCCTCCTCAATTTGGTTTCCTTTTTATGATTTGGACTGAGGTAGTAACTTCCTCTAGTTGTTTTTCTTGTGCTACATCCCTGTACAGTAGGGGGTGTCACATAGCTACTTGTAATCTTGTGGACCAGTATTCATATACATATTTTTTCTGAGTATCAAATGAGTAAGATTTGAATAATTAAAGAAATGAAGCCCCTTCATTTTCATTTACATTTTCCCTTTCTGGTTTTTTAATGCCAACAATGCATGAATTTTCTTTGCAATCTATGAAACTTAGCTGATTTAGTGGACTGAACATGTTGAAGCTTTTGATAATCCTTGATCCATAGTTATACAATAAAGATTTTTAAAATGCTAATCAGCCTTTAATTTATTCTAGCATAGCAAAATGTAAGCGTACTGGAAAAATTGCAGAATAACTTTGGATGGTTTTCTAGGAATAATTAAGGCTTTGAAGCAATCCCTCAGGAGTGATTTTTATCATTTTGAATAACCTTTATTTAACTTTAGTTTACTTAAATGGCTGAGGTTCATACCTAATACTTGAACTTTAGCAAAATTTAGGTATCTTTGTTAATAGTGTAGCTTGGTGTGTGGATTTTAGTTTTCATGGTTATTTGTTTTCAGTTTTGTGCTTCTTCTACCTTTCTAAATTTATGTAACTTGAACTTTTTTCCTTATCTTTTGATAGGAAGAAGGACCAAATGATCGGAAGATAGGAAAACTATGTGAATATGCTTCCAAAAATCCCTTGCGCATTCCTAAGGTATACTGTACTGACAATCTGCAAAATGACAATTTGATAACCCAAGCTATTTCTTGAAATCCCAGTTTGTCATACTTTGAATGAATTTCTCAGTCACCTAAGTCATGGAAAGGAATACTATATGATAGGAATCTGCCCTTTTTCATCACTGGGTTTGGGTTTTAAAATTGAAGTCTTTGTCCTCGTTGTGTTATAAACTGTTTTTCAGTAATGTTAAACCATATAAAATCAAGAAGTGGATTAAGAAAGGTTCTAGGAGTTTCTGATGGTTACATCTGCTCCTGGAGAACTTTTCTACTTGGAGTCACATGTTTTATGTCTTTTAAAACTATATAAAGTCCAAATTATGTTGTCTTTCTGATTACTAGTCTTGCAAATTTTATGACCAGATTGTTGATTCTCTTGAGCAAAGGTGTTACAAGGAACTTCGAAATGAGAATTTTCATTCAGCAAAAATTGTCATGTGCATTTACAAGAAATTGGTGTTCTCCTGTAAGGATCAAATGTGAGTTTATTTGTAGCAAACTATATATATATATATATATATATATTTATGATACTCAAGTGTTTGCTATACAAGTGAGGGATATTGATCTCCTCTATCCCAATTCCCTTCCCACCCATCTCAATAATATTAACCCGAGACTCCCAATTGGGATGTCTCATTGTCTATTTCCAAATCAATGTTTAGATAATCTCCTCCATCTTTACTCTCTGTATCAATCATTTTCAACACTTTACCAAGCAGATAGAAGATTGGAATTCAATAATAGTTGCTAATAATGTGCTAAAGTTAAAGAAACATTTTCCACTTTCTATAGTACATTCTTCACTTCATTCATTTTCTTGATGTAAATCTGCTTTTGCTTTTCCCTGATTCCATTAAATTTATGATCTTCAACAACTTCACAGGTCACTATTTGCTAGTAGTTTACTAAGCATTATGCATACTCTGTTGGATCAAACACGGCAGGATGAGATGCGAATTATAGGATGTCAAACACTTTTTGACTTTGTAAATAATCAGGTTAGTGCTTTTCGTATCTGTTCGTATTCTCTCTTTTTCTGAAATCAAGATTTCATGTTTAAAAAGAAAAAAGAAAAGAAATTAGTGTCAAAAAGCATGCAGACTTCTCCATGCAGGAAACTTTAAAGTCATTTCATCTTACTGAATGTTGCAGAAGGATGGAACTTACATTTTTAACTTAGAAGGATATATTCCAAAACTCTGTCAGTTAGCTCAAGAACTTGGGGAAGATGAGAGGGCACTTAATCTGCGTGCGGCTGGGCTTCAGGCTCTTTCTTCAGTGGTATTCTTCACATGGTTGCTCATCTACTTAATTGCTTGACTATGTTAACTCTCATTTGAACAGATGGAAGAAAAATAAAATCTTCAATCCTAGGTCTATGCTCCAATCTTACATCTATAAATCATACATTAATTCAACATTTTTTCAATTGACTCGAATGCAGGTTTCAATTCAGCATGCTTTTCTCACTGGAATTATCATTATATCTTCTGTTTTAGCAAATATTTCTTTCATCATTACAATTTAATGATATTGAAAATTTTCTATGTACATATCCTGCATGCTAACATCCTAATACATATTGGATTTTCTGTTTCTCTGTAGATTTACTTTATGGGAGAACACTATCACATTTCAGTGGAATTTGATAATGTAAGAAGACTTGGGCTTATTCAGTTTTCTCTTAATTTTTTCTCCATGTTAGTTGTGTATCTCATTACCTATTTGCAATTACAGTAGCTTATATGGTGCTTATGGTTGCTAATTTTATTGACATTATTAGCTGACATGTTTGAACAGCCAATTGTAGTAGGGAATATCCTGTAAGAATCTAATTTCAGTTTCTGTATCATAACTTTTTTCCAATGTTAAAAACAGGTTGTTTCAGTAGTCTTGGAAAATTATGAAGGGCCAAATAAAAATTCAGAGAACCCTGATGGTCAAAAGTGGGTGGAAGAAGTGCTCAAAAATGAGGGTCATGTCCCCTTGCCAGATGCACTCACAAAGTTTCCTTCTTGGAGCACAATTGTGAACAATAAAGGCGAACTAACTGTGGCAGAGTAATCTCTTGGTTCAAAAAATGCATTTATCTTTTGTTCTGTTTTATGTCATTTTGTAAACAAAATTCTTGCCTTTTCTTTTCATAGTGAAGATGCAAAGAATCCAGGCTTCTGGTCCAGAGTTTGCTTGCATAACATGGCGAAGCTGGCAAAGGAGGCTACAACAATGCGACGTGTTCTTGAATCTCTGTTCCGTTACTTTGATAATGGGGACTTATGGTCCCTTCAAAATGGTCTTGCCTTCCCCATCTTAAAGGATATGCAGTTTTTAATGGATAGTTCTGGTATTCTTGCACTTCTCAACTTTCTACCAACATTTCTGAGGTTTTAACTGTCTTTGAATGTATTGCTACCATGTTTTTCCTAAGATTTTCAATGCAACAATGGTGAGAGATTCATCATGCTATCTTTCTCATGTTTTGCAGGACAGAACACACATTTTTTGCTGTCCATATTAGTGAAGCATCTTGATCATAAAAATGTCCTTAAACAACCTGATATGCAGCTTGACATCATACAAGTTACTTCCTGCCTTGTTCAATATGCAAAAATTGAGTCTTCTGTTTCAATACTTGGTGCCATAAGTGATATAATAAGGCATTTAAGGAAGAGCATACATTGCTCATTTGATACAAATCATGGAGCTGATGTAATAAAATGGAATATAGACTTTAAAGAAGCAGTTGATAAGTGCCTCGTACGATTATCATATAAGGTGACTCTTCTTGTCTTAACTTCTCATGGTTCCATGATTATCAAAGTTTGGTTAGAACATCATGTTCTAACACAATTTTATTTTACTTTTCCTTTATGTTGTCTTCACTACTTAGTACTACCTTTAATCTTGTAAGCTACTACTATACTTTTTAAGATCTAAAGTTTTGCTAACCAATGGTGAACAGGTTGGAGATGCAGGCCCAATTCTTGATGTCATGGCTGGAATGTTGGAGAACATCTCAGCTATTACAGTTACAGCCAGAACTACAATTTTTGCTGTTTATCGTGCTGCCCAAATTGTGGCTGCCCTACCAAATCCATCATATCAAAACAAGGCAATAATCCACGACATATTTCCCTTTTGGAGAGTGTATTATTTTTTTATTTGATGTCTTTTTATAGCTAACTTATCATTTGATATTTGTTCTTTGTATTAGGCATTTCCTGAGGCTTTATTTCATCAGCTACTCCCCGCTATGGTCCATCCAGACCATGAAACTCGAATTGGAGCCCACCGTATATTTTCTGTTGTTCTTGTGCCATCTTCAGTTTGCCCCCATCCATCTTCAGTTATTCCTGATTCAAAGAAGGCCAAAGTTCCACGATCGCTCTCAAGAGCTGTCTCTGTCTTTTCTTCTTCAGCTGCTCTTTTTGAGAAGTTGAGGGAGGAGAGATCTTCTTCAAGGGAAAATATAGTTCAAGAGAACAAAGCAACTTTTGTCAGTGAAGAAGAACTTAAAAACAATAACAGTGGGTTTCTCAATAGATTGAGATCATCTTATAGCCAAGAATATAGTGTGGAAAACCTCTCTCCTACATCTCCCACAGCTGATGAAAATTCTACGGGCTGCTCAGATAAGGAACTTGTAAGTTTTGGCTTGTCATCCCACGACATCTTTTTCTATGTCTAGTTGTGCTGCAATAATGATTAACAGTTGTTTACATATCTGTTTATAAAGCCTCAAGAGGTGAAATCTCTACGACTGAGTAGTCACCAGATTAGCCTATTGCTGTCATCCATTTGGGCACAGTCTATCTCTCCAGAAAATACTCCTCAAAACTATGAAGCAATTGCTCATACATACTGCCTTGTGTTGCTGTTCTCTCGAGCCAAGGTAGTTGCTGTCCTGCTTTTACATAAGCTTACAATTTTCTTCTTAATATATGTTGGTGATACCTTTTGTGAGGCAGGTTGATTTCCTTGGTTTTTGATTCTCAGATTGTGGGAATATGGGAATCAATAAACCAAGGTAATTTCCTTGATATATTTTCTTTTATCTGGAACGTATTGATATAGGTCAACATACTTGCTGCTTATCGTGGAGAAACCCTTTCTTGTAGATTGTATCAGTAATTTTCAGCACACACTCTATTTCTTGATTCTTATGGAGTTTCATTTCCTCTTCTTGTTATCATTTGTTGCAGAACTCTAGTCATGAGGTTCTAGCTCGAAGTTTCCAGCTAGCATTTTCCTTGAGAAACATCTCTCTTAGTGAAGGAGGTGAGTAACTTTTGAAGGAACCACCTTAATTTAAGCTTGAGTTTTTTATGCTCCTAGTTACAGGAAGACAATATTGTTTGAAGACATAAATTAAAAGAAAAAATCGTAAATTTTAGTTGGGTAGTCTTCTATGATGATTCTATGGAGTAGACAAATAAGTTGCTAGTTTAAGGACTTAAAGCCTTCATTCTATGGAGTAGACATTTTCTTCTTCAACTAGATTCATGCTTAACTTCTATTTGATCTTCTGTTATTGAAATGTCAACTCCTTATCTATTGCAAATTCCCTACTACTTTTACAGGACAACTACCACCATCACGTCGTAGATCTCTTTTTACTTTGGCAACTTCAATGCTTCTCTTTTCTTCAAAAGCTTACAACATTCTTCCTCTTGTCTATCACATCAAGGCAATCCTTATGGAAGAGATGGTACAGTACTTTCCATGGATGAAATCATATTCACAATTTGCTTCTCTTGCAAGTTTTTATTGAGTAGTGCTTAAAATTTTTATTCTCATCCATTTTTGTTTGCTCATATTTACAATGGGGCAAAGCTTTAAATATCAAGTTGATGTAAAGCAGTGTCCTTTCCTTTTCTTATCCACAACAGCCCTTTTCCCTGTAACCCTCTCTTTTCTTTTTTGGTAAGACTACCATTTCTCCAAGCAGCAAAGCTCTATAGTGCTTGCTTTCTAACATTGTTCTATGATTGAATTAGGTGGATCCGTTTTTATGCTTGGTGGAGGATCACAAGTTAACAGCTGCTAATGGTGGCCCTCTCCAGCAAACCATTGTTTACGGGTCAAAAGAAGATGATAATTTGGCTCTGAAGACTCTCTCACAAATACAGATCACACAGGACCAAAGCAGGGAATCACTTGCTTCTGAGATCTTGACAAGCTTGGGAAATTTGTCAGAAGTAAAGTTTTTATCTGATCTTTAACAGAAATCTTGGACTCCAATTTAGTAATGAATGTCATTACCATAGTCTAACTATTGGTGACTTTTGTTGCAGCATGAATTATCCAATGTAAGGAGGCAGCTGCTCAATGAATTTGTACCTGATGATGTGTGTCCTCTGGGAGCCCAGATGTTTATGGAGGCGGCACATCAGAACTATTTGATTGATTCAGAAAATAATAAATTTGAGGTAGATGATCCTGTTGTAGCTTCTAGTTTTGCTTCTATTTTTCCTACTAATGCACAGGACTTAGCAATTTCCTTTTGCTTTACAGAGTGGTTCCATTGTCTCAGTTGAGGATGATCCTTTGTCAGAATCATTTGAAAGTCAACCCAAACATAACAAAGCATTGACCCTTGTGACTCCAAACCTTTTGAGTGCTAATCAACTTCTAGAATCGGTATGTCATTATCAAAATAATTTGATCATATAAGTACTGACACTGTTGAACACCATCTAACTGGTGATAAGCATTTGCAATATCATGTTGAAAGAGAATGCATAATGATTGATTACTTGCTTTGTATGTGCACAGGTCTTGGAGACAGCACAACAGTTTGGAAGAATTTCTGTATCTACTGGAGCGAACATGCCCTACAAGGAAATAGCAAGCCACTGTGAGGCACTTTTAATGGGAAAGCAGCAAAAGATGTCTCATTTGATGAATGCCCATCTGCAACAAGAAAGTCTGTTTAAGGTGTATGTTTATACTCCCGAAGAGTCAGAGAAGGTACTCTCCCTATCTTAGCTATGAGCAACTTAACATGCATGCCACACTAAATTCAAACACAAACCCTTTTGGGGTTCCAAATTCTATTTTGTCATGTGAAAAGTCATTTGAGGTTCGAGATCCTAAAAGCTTTATTAAGTATTTTGCATTTAGATGTCAATCCAATGTGCAAAATGTTGTTCTGTGAAGCATCTAACTTTCTAAGTCCTTTCAATGCAGGCTGGCAAGACGTCTCTTGACCAAAATGTCACTACCATTTCAATCAAACCATTTAGAAATCTTTCAATGCTATGTGTGACTGAGTATCAACCTCCTCCCCAGTTGTCCCAATTACCAGCATCAAGTCCATACGACAAATTCCTAAAAGCTGCTGGATGTTGATTCTTCAGAAATTGCGCTAGTACTAACACTCTAGTTGCTGCAAGGAGGAAACCATACATATCTACGAGCAAGTTGAGGCAAGTAACTGTAAGAACTGAGTCAATTCTCCTGTGTACCATGTATTGGAAGCATCATGCATTACATGGATTGAGTTTATAAGTTTTGGAATTCAATTCTTTGATTCTTTGCTAAATTTACGCAAGATGGAAAGCACTTGTCATTTGTATACTTGAAGGATTGAAGTTTTGTCATTGCCATCATTGTGATGGACATGTAATATATGTATTTGTAAAACTTAGGCGAGATCACAAACCCATTAAACAGACCAATATTTGATTTGATACCTCATAGCTGAATACTTCATCCCTGTACGTAACAATTGAACAAGGTAAATGGTTTGTCATTAGATGAATTAATTGTACATGAAATGTGGTTTGTTTTGGATTTGATAATTTATTCCTTTCAAAAGTTAGACTAAGAGGGTCTTGCAGGTAGTATAGACTTGGTTATAAATATAAAAGTTCTTACTTTCAATACAAATATGAGGTCACTTCACTGGTAGGTTCTTCTCTTCAAATTTTCTTTAGAGGATTTGTCTAAATTTAATTTTTAATTAATATTTTTAAAATTTAATTATCAGATTTAAAGTTTTATTTATATAAATTATGTATGTTAAATTTTATTTTAATTTAATACTTTCAATGTTTTAATCAAAGAAATTTTACTTACCAATATCTATTTAATAATATTAAATTTTGTATAGTTAATGAAATTGTTAGATTT